ACTCCTGGGCTCAAGCAAGTCTCCTGCCTCAGCCTCCCAAGTAGCTGGGACCACAGGCACCCGCCACAATGCCTGGCTATTTTTTGGTTGCAGCCATTATTGTTTGGCCGGTCTGGGCTGGATTCGAACCCGCCACCTTAGGTGTATGTGGCTGGCACCTTAGCTGCTTGAGCCACAGGTGCTGAGCCTGAATAGAGAGATTGATCCCTCCCGGAAGCCCCTCTACCTCAGGAGAGGCCAGGGAAGATTCCTGGGAAAATAGGGAGGAGGGCAGTGGGTTATTCAGAGCCTCTTAGAACCAGGAAAAGTGGGCTTTGGGGCCAGAAACCCCTATAGGCCACTGCCCACTCTTCCCACTCCCTTGTTTTGGGGGCCTGCAGGCCGTTTCGAAGCCTCAGTGATCGAGGAGCGACGGAAGGGGGCAGAGGACTTGCTTCGCTTCACTGTGCACATACCTGCACTCAACAACAGCCCCCAGCTCAAGGAGTTCTTCCGGGTATGTGTACCTGCTCTTCCCAGCTCCCCAGCATGTGAGAGCTCACCTACACATGAGGCTGTAGCCATGATTCCCTGTCTCTCCTGTAGGGCGGGGAAGTGACACAGCCCTCTGAGGTGCCCAGGGACCTGCACATTCTGCCACCTCCTCTGATCCCAACCCCATCCCCCGAAGAGCCTCGACTGCCCCAGCCACTCCCTGCGGAAAGGAGGGGCCTTGAGGAACTGGAGGTGCCAGGTATATTGGGGTAAGGGGAGGGAGCCAGGGGTTGGAGGATCCAAAGAGGGGAGAGGGAAGTCATGAGGTGGAGGATCCACACTCAGTGATCTTAGTAAAAATCTGGGTGTGTCCCAGTTCTACCACTCACCAGCTGAGGAACTTTGGACAGGTCATCTTTCGTCTCTGGGCTATAGTTTCTTTTTTGCAGTCTTTGGCGGGGGCTGGGTTTGAACCTGCTACCTCTGGTACATGGGGCCAGCACCTTGCTCCTTGAGCTACAGGTGACACCCATGGATAGGCTTGGTGTCTGTAGCTCAGTGAGTAAGGGTGCCAGCCACGTACACCAAAGCTGGCAGGCCCAGCCCGAGCCTGCTAAACAACAATGACAACTGCAACCAAAAAATAACCAGGCTTTGTGGCAGGAGCCTGCTCGGGAGAGGCAAGAGAATTGCTTAAGCTGAAGTTTGAGGTTGCTGTGAGCTGTGATGCCATAGCACTCTACTGAGGGTGACATAGTGAGACTCTGCCTCAAAAAAAAAAAAAAAAAATATATATATATATAATGGACACATGCTCTCATAATGGGCTTATCGATGCCCATGGTTACTGCATGGATTTAGTGAGAGTACTTCCATTTTGAAAGCTGGAAAATGAAGAAGCAGGTGTTAATGTCCCTATATCTATTCCTCAGTGGACCCCCCACCATCAAGCCCTGCTCAGGAGGCCCTGGATCTGCTCTTTAACTGTGGGAGCATTGAGGAAGTGTCCAGTTCCCCTGCCCGAGGCCTGCTTACCGAGGCTGAGCTTGCCCTCTTTGACCCCTTCTCCAAGGAAGGTAATGAGCTGGGACAGCTGGAGGGATGGGTCCAGGAGGTCCTTAGGGCAGGGAGGGAAGGCAGAGCTGCCACGAGCCTGCATGATGTCTGTGTAAATCTGAGAAAAGGCCCTCAATAGTGCTGCCTGTGGGTAAGGCAGTCTCAGAATCAGAAGCAGGTACCCCTTACCCAGGTGCCATAGTCCCATGCCAAGGCTGGTAGCATGGTGTGCTTGATGCCCCTATGCAACCATGTTGGAAGAAAGGGAGCTATTTCCCAAGATGGGATACTTTGAGAAGAGGAGGGTCACACTGCTATGGGAGGTTTGAGTTCCTTCTGTTGGAAGCCCAAGGTAGGGTTTTTTGGCTGGCTCAGATCCTGAAGGTGAGGTCTGGGCTCAGAGTGCATCAGAGAGGGAAACCCCTCTAGGGGTTGGAACCATTCCTGGCATATGGGGACACCTGAGACAGAAGGGCTCTCCATGGAGGTCAGGGTTCTGAGCACCTTTTTGCACTGATATCTCAGGACCTTATAGTCCCACCTTCCCTATAGACCAGTGGTTCTCAACTTTCCTAATGCCATGACCCTTTAAACAGTTCCTCATGTTGTGGTGACCCCCAACCATAAAATTATTTTCGTTGCTGCATCATAACTAATTTTGCTACTGTTTTGAATCATAATGTAAATATCTGATGCAGGATATATTTAGGTGACTCCTGTGAAAGGATCGTTTGACCCTCAAATGGGTCGCAACCCACAGGTTGAGAACCACTGCTATAGACACTAGGGTTTTTCATTCTAAAATTCTCCAAATTTACACCATCACTGCAACCAGGGTGTTGAGTAGCCAATCTTACTTCAGGATAATCATGAAACATCTCTGTTTTCATTCCGTTCCTCAGTAGTGTTCTCAAGCTAATTTTGTTGGCTTCCCTTCTTCAGCCTTTGGCAGACCTTTAGTTTTCTAATCAATTTCAGGCATTGCAGCTCTCATCCTTAGGTAAGCTTTCACCCTGGTCCAGTCTAAATGAGGACATAAATGTTCCATCCAGTCATTAGCCTCACTCCTCCACCTGACCATTGGCCCAGCCCCATGCCATAGTGACAGGGTGTGAGGAGTGTTCTTTCACTTTATTTGTTCTGCTTCCCCCCTTGGATGGAAAGGCACAGGTGGGGTCGTGGGCTGCTGTGCCCATTTTCTGAGGGGCAGAATCTATACACTCTGCCCTTGCCCCAGCTGAGCCCTCGGGGTATCCTGTGAGCAGCTGCTTGGGCAGGATCTCTTCAAGATTTCCCATAGGCACCCCCATGAGACATTCACTTGGCCCACAGGAAAACTCCCAAATTGTTGTTCTCCAAAGGCTGGAAGTGCACTTTGCTTAGACCCTGCTTCATCTCCTTGTCCTGCTGCTGTGGGCAGCTCCAGTGAGCCTCTCACCACTCCTATCTCTCTTCTTCAGCCAGACTCTTGAAACCAGCCAAGCATCCTTCTACTCGCTGCTCCATGAGTAACAGAGGGAGGTTTATAGGCCCATCCAGAAACTGCCCTTTACAGGTGCCAGTCTTCTCAGGGCTCTTGTGGAACTCCTCACTTGGATGGGACTGGAGAAATGCCCATCCCCTTTCCTCCCAGGACAGTGGGGAGCCATGGCACTCCCTGTTCCTGCTCCTGCACCTTCCCTTCAAAAGCCTTGAGATCTCTAGGCACTTTGCATGTAAGGAGGATGTCTGACTGCCTCCTAGCCAGTCCAGGGTGGGAAAATGAGCCCTTCTCTCTAGAATGTTAAGAGTACCTACATCCCACTGTCTTCACATTTAAGGGCCTCAGCTGTAATTGCAAGACCCCAGAAAAACCCTGAGATTCTCTGAATGCATTATTCTACCCCTAACCTATAGGGTAGGCCAAGGGTAGAAATACTCCAAACCTTGGAATAATGTTAACTGGAGTCAGAAGAGAAATAGGACCAGTGATCCAGAGCTCAGGAGAGAAATAGGACCAATGATCCAGAGCTCACAAACTAAAGTTAATATGTACCTAAAAAAGGCCAGGCACGGTGGCTAACACCTATAATCCAAGCACTCTGGGAGGCCAAGGTGGGTGGATTGCCTGAGCTCAAGAGTTTGAGACCAGCCTGTGCAAGAGTGAGACCCCATCTCTAAAAAAAATAGCTTGGTGTTGTGGCAAGTGCCTGTAGTCCCAGCTATGTGGCAGGCTGAGACAAGAAGATCACTTGAGCCCAAGAGTTTGAGGTTGCTATGAGCTGTGACACCATGGCACTCTACTGAGGGCAAAGGTGAGACTCTGTCTCAAAAAAAAAAAAAGTACCTAAAAAAAAGAATTAGGAAAGTAAGGCTATTTTTCCAAAAGCACATGACCCCACTGACCAAAGAGATCATGGCTAGTTTGCTATATACAGGCGTCTTCTGGATTGCCCAGACATTGCTCCCTTCTATCAGGGATAGACTGAAATCCTGATGGACAAGAGAGGTCTGAGGGTTGGGCAGCAGGTCCGGAAAGAAAGAGCCAATCTAGCCTGAGTCCTCTCTCTGATTGCAGAAGGAGCAGGCCCCAGCCCCACTCATATAGGTGAGCTGGCATCAGTGCAGGTAGAGTCTGAAAGGCTGGACCAGGAACCCTGGGAGCCAGGAGGGCAACAGGAGGAAGAGGATGAGGAAGGAGGGCCCACCCCTGCCTATTTGAGCCAGGCCACGGAGCTCATCACCCAGGCCCTGCGGGATGAGAAGGCAGGCGCCTACCCTGCTGCACTCCAGGGCTACCGAGATGGTGTGCATGTGCTGCTTCAGGGAGTGCACAGTAAGTAGGGACTGGAGGGTGGAGGGTCAGGCCCAGATCAGTTGCCCTTGTTCCTCACTGACCAGTTGTGTAACCTGGCAAGGTTTTTTTGTTTGTTTGTTTTTTTAACCTCCTGTGGCTTCAGTTTCTCTATTTGTAAAATGAGAATAGACACTGGGCTGCAGGGAAGAGGAAAAGGCAGGTGGTAATGCTCTATGAACTGTGTGGGACTAGACCAAGGGTTCTGAAGGTCGCTAACCACAGGTACTTCAGCTGAGCCAGTCTCTCTACACAGATGATCCATCCCCTGCCCGCCGGGAAGGTGTGAAGAGGAAGGCGGCTGAGTACCTGAAGCGGGCAGAGGAGATCCTGAACCTGCACCTGTCTTCACTTCCACCCTGAGAGGGAGCAGACTTTTCCCCAGGACTCTAGCTCCAGCACTGCCAGCCACCCCTTCTCTCTCCAGGGTCTGGCCCTACCCCTTGGTGTTGTAACCCCAGGGGCCATTTCTATATGTAACTGGACAAAGAGAGAGAAAAACAATGAACTCTCAGCTCCCTGCCTACACGTGCACTTTGGCATTAGAGACCTGCACTTCTGATCCTGCCTGTCTTGATGTGTGAATGGCGGCTCTGGTCACTGAACTATTAATTTGAGTTTAACATCTAGAACTGGGGTCTGCAAACTACAGCCTGTAGCCAAATCTGACCCATAGCCTTTTTTTTGTAAGGCCTATGAACTATACTGTTTTTTACATATTTTAATGCTTGGAAAAAACCAAAAGAATAATGTTCTGTGACAGATGAAAATTATATGAAATTTAAGTGTCTGTAAATAAAATTTCGTTGGAACACAAACAGGCCCATTCGCTTGGTATTGTCCATGACTGCGCTCACACTACACTGGCAAAGCTGTGTAGTCGCAGGGGTGAATCTTTGCTACCCCTAAATCCCAGAACATTTTCTATCTGGCCCTTGGCGGAAAAGTTTGCTGACCCCCGATCTAGGAAATGGGGAGGATAGTCTCCAGGGAAACGAGATTGACGGGCTGACGGAGCCAGTTTGTTGGGTAAATGTGGTGAAGGAGGTATTTATTTTGAAGGCCCCCAATAGTGAATGTTCGGGCTGGGTGGGTCTGGCCCGCCGAGGCCCCGCCTCCTACGTCCCGCCCTTCCGACAGGACGATTGATTGCGGAATGGACTACAAATTGGTGCATTATGGGAACGAGTCAGTCTACGATTTCAAAGCACGAAGAGGGGCGGTGGCGTGAGAGAGCCTGTAATCCCAGCTTCCGGGAGGATGTGGCCGGAGGACTGAAATCGAGAGTTCGAGACCAGCTTGGGCAAAATAGCAAGACCCCCATCCTGGAAAAACAAGGGGTTCGAAAGTTGAGCGCGGTGCATTAGGGGAGGCGTTAGCGGGTTCTGAGCGCGCGGAACCACGGGAGCGTCGCTGGACTACACCGCAGTGCATCTTGGGAGGCAGAGTCGACGCAGCCTGGTGAGAGGCTGGCAGTGGGCAGGGCCGGAGGGTGGCAAAGAAGCTAGAGACCGGCGGGGAGGCAGGCCCTACTAGATTCTGTCTCGCTCCTCCTCTCCCAAGACTCAGCCGGCCTACGTGTAACGTGCAGTCCAGAATAGGGCGAGTAGCCGTGGCCCCGGGATGCTGAGCGCCCACCTTCTCCCCGCAGTCCACCCATGCCCAGCTGCGAGCTACCAGTGGGCACATGCCCAGACATGTGCCCAGCCGCCGAGCGTATCCAGCGTGAAAAGGAGCGCCGCCTGCACCGCTTTGAGGTAGTGCCGGGGTGCTGCGGAGACTGGCCCCGCGCCGACCCACAGCGCGCGGTGAAAGAGTACTGCCGGCCTGCAGCCGGCAAGCCCCGGCCACCGCCAAGCCAGCTGCGTCCGCCCTCGGTGCTGCTGGCCACTGTACGTTACCTGGCCAGCGAGGTGGCTGAGAGTGCCGACGCATCCCGCGCCGAGGTGGCTAGCTTCGTGGCGGACCGGTTGCGAGCTGTGCGACTGGACCTGGCCCTGCAGGGTCCTGGAGACGCCGAGGCAGCCGTGGTGTTGGAGGCGGCGCTGGCCACGCTGCTAGCTGTGGTGGCGCGGCTTGGGCCGGATGCGGAGCACGGGTCTGAGGACCCGGTGCTACTGCAGACCCAAGTGCAGGAGAGCTTCGGCTCGCTGCGGCGCTGCTACGCGCAAAGCGCAGGGCCACACCCCCGCCAGGCCGCCTTCCAGGGTCTTTTTCTGCTATATAACCTAGGTGAGTCTGGTCCTGGCGGCGGGCCAGAGTGTGGGGCCAGAGAGCCCTGCAAGGGGAAAGTGGAAGTAGGAAAAGGGAACTTGGGGCCATGTCTGGGTCTTACGCTTTCGCAGTAAAAAAGTGAAGGAGGCAGAGTTGAGATGGGAGAGCAGGCCTAGAGAGTGATTTTCAAACTTTTTTTAAACCCATATTCTCCAGAGTTGCAAAGCATCCAAGAATACATCTGCCCACGAATGTATCTTTAAACAGAGGTTTAAAGATTTTAGATACTTCTTTATGTGTGATGCGTTCTAATGAACTCTATTCTGGCCTGGCTCACATCTGTAATCCCAGCACGTTGGAAAGCTGAGGCAGGAGGATCGCTTACGGTCAGGAGTTTGAGACCAACCCGGGCAATGTAGTGAAACCCTATCTCTGCAGAAAATTTAGGGGTAGTGGTGTGCACTTGTAGTCCCAGCTCATCCAGAGGCTGAGGGAGGAGAATTGCTTGAACCCAGGAGCTTGAAGCTGCCATGAACTATGACCATGCCGCTGCACTCCCCCCTGGGTAACAGCAAGACTGTCTCTTAAACACACACATACACACACAATTCTATCTTAATTGTAATAAAGTGCTGTTTACTTCACAACCCACTAGTGGGAGAGAAGCCCAGTTTACAAGAGGGCCATCGTTCCTGTATCTGTGATTCTCCCAGAAGGGGAGCAGAGAGAGCCTCCTCCAAGAAATGGCCTTCTGGGCAGTGCCCAGTGGTTGTGAATGTTCAGGCTGGGTGGGTCTGGCCCGTCGAGGCCCCGCCTCCTACGCCCCGCCCTGGCCAAACTGTAACAAAAAATAGCTGGGCGTTGTTGCAGGCACCTGTAGTCCCCACTACTTGGGAGGCTGAGGCAAGAGAATCACCTAAGGCTCGGCACCTGTGGCTCAAATGGCTAAGGCACCAGCTACATACACCTAAGGTGGCAGGTTGAAATCCAGCCCGGGCCTGCCAAACAGGCCCAGCCTGTTTGACGGCTGCAACCAAAAAATAGCCGGGTGCTTTGGCAGGCACCTGTGGTCCCAGCTACTTGGGAGGCTGAGGCAGGAGACTCGCTTGAGCCCAGGAGTTGGAGGTTGCTGTGAGCTGTGATGCCACAGCACTCTACCTAGGGGGACAACTTGATGCTCTGTCTCAAAAAAAAAAAAAAAAAGAATCACCTAAGCCCAGGAGTTGACGGTTGCTGTGAGCTGGGTGATGCCACGGCACTCTACCGAGGGCGACAAAGTAAGACACTGTGTCTATAAAAAAAAAGAAAAAGAGAGAAATGACCTTCCCAGGCAGTCAGCGGAAGGCGTGGGAGAGTCAGCTTCCAAACCTCTGGGTACAAGGCAACCATGGTAGTAAGGAATCCAAGTCAGAAAACTTGGACTTGGGTCAGGCTGTACCACATAAGAACTCCGGAACAGTGGCCAGGCACAGGTAGCTCCTGCCTGTAATCCCCCCACTCCGAGGAAGGTCCGCCCCCTGCCGGCAGCTGCAATGTGACAATAACAGGCAGGTCATTAAATAATCTGGACCAGTTTCCTCCATCTGTAAACTCTATCCACTTCTTCACTGTTATAAGAATCCAGACTGGAGGAGGAGGTTGAGAACCTGTGACTTACGGTTCAGGGAAGGGGCGAATGGCTGGATCTTTTCAGCGGAGAGAGAGAGGAGAGGTGGGCTAGGTCTAGAGAAGGGGCGTGGTCGAAGAGAGGCTGGGGCGGGTACAATGGCCGCAGGAGGTGGGCAGGACCCAGGTCTAGCTCGAGCTACGGAGGGGCCAGAGGAGGTAGGCGTGGCTGAGTGCAAAACTTGGTTGGAGGGGAGATGGGCCCGATCCAAAGAGGACCGGGCGTCCGCATCCTGGGTTTCTGCCCTCACAGGTTCGGTGGAAGCCCTGCACGAGGTTCTGCAGCTGCCTGCCGCCCTGCGCACCTCCCCGCCCCTGCACACGGCCCTGGCGGTCGATGCTGCCTTCCGTGAGGGCAATGCTGCTCGGCTTTTCCGCCTGCTTCGGACCCTGCCTTACCTGCCGAGCTGCGCTGTGCAGTGCCACGTGGGCCATGCCCGCCGCAGAGCCCTGGCCCGCCTAGCTTGTGCCCTGAGCACTCCCAAGGGCCAGGCCTTGCCTCTGGGCTTCATGGTTCACCTGCTGGCTCTGGATGGACTCAGCGAAGCACAGGACCTATGCCAGCGCCATGGACTGCCCTTGGACGGGGAGGAAAGAGTAGTGTTCCTGAGGGGTCGGTACACTGAGAAAGGGCCGCCCCATGCTGGTAGCTGCAATGTGTTAGTGGGGAGCAAACTTCGAGGGCGCACCCTGGAGGAGGTGGTCATGGTAGAGGAGGAAGATGAGGGGGTGGACAGGCCCAGTTCCCCAGACTGAGGAAGTGTGCAATCTCCCAGAGCCCAGGCCTGGATCAGAGCGCTTAGGTTTCTTTTCCCATAATCCCAGACAATAAAAGGAACTTGTTTGTGTAGAGACCAGTCTCTAAATTTTTATTTCTTTGGGGGAATTCAGGGCATATTGGGACATGCCAAGAGCATAGAAGAAGAGGAATGCAGACTGGGCAAGGCCCTTTCCACGCAGGGCCTCAGTTTACGCACTGCTCCCTAAGAGGTGACTTTGATGATGTCTTGAGTTGGTGTCTAAGGTTGGCATGCATGCCATCCTCATACACCCAGGAGCAGTTGGTGGTTTCACCATCCCCATCTCCTGCTGTCCACCCTTTGCCAACTAAATGCCAGGATGAGGGCGATTTTCATTGAGGCTTGCCACTTCCCTCGGGTGTCTGCAACTGGTGGGACCCCAAGCTGTTGCTTGAGAAGGTCTTGTGGTTATGCCTTCTCCCAGCATCAGGAAAATGGGTGGGAGGGGGTTAGGATAAAGGGAGAGCTGAGAAAGATGGCTGGGGTTAGAGGTCAGCTACAGGCCTCAGAGTGGCTGCTGCACCCTCCAGGGCCACCACCACAATGCTGAGCTGCCTCTGCACCTCAGCCCAAGCTTCAGATCCAGGGCTTGTGTTGCTGGCTCTGGAGCAGGCATTGGCCAAGCCTGGGAATGTGGCTGTGGAGCTTGTGCGGGGTGCCCAGAGTACATGGCTGACAGGAGAAATGAGGCAGGCTCAGGGTCAGTCAGGGGCCAGGAAAGAGGAGCCTTAGGCTAGAACTCACCCAGCTCCTGTACCCAACTAGGCACAGAAGCACCCTCCACACCTGCCCCTTAACAGTAGTGGTGGTGAGAGATGTAAGTTCTAGTCCCACCTCCCAGGGTGACTCTCAAACCAGTTTGCCTTGCCTCCCTGAACCTCACATTTCCCAGCTGTCTCCTGGGGCTGGGTTGTTCTCTAAAGGGCAGAGAAACTGACATCCTTCTTCCCCAGATGGTTGGCCGTGGCCCAGCCCCACCACGAGGCCCTTCCTAGGACCTTTGGGACAGGCTCACCTATAGTAGCGTTCCTCTGGGAAGGCTCTGGGGTTCAGGAAGGCCCGTTCCAAGAGCATCAGCTGGTCATTGAGCATCCGGACCTGCAGGGGGCTGGTGGACACAGGACCTGCCAGTCACACTGAAGCCAGCAGCCTAGCTGCCAACCTGGCATCCCACCCTGGCTGCTGCCCTTCCACACAGCTGCCTTTGGCCCTTGCTCACTCAGGGGTGCCCTTCTGCAGTGTTGCTATGTGTTGACCCAAGGCTTTGGCTGCTGCCTCAAACTCCTCCACTGCAGCCACCAGAGGCCCTGTGAGAAATAACCAGAGACTTAGAACTGAGGGTGCAGGGCTCCCCATGCCTCAATGTCAGGGGTGTCCATACCCAGGCTGATGTTGTTCTGTTCCAGCAGGGTCCCAAGTTCCTGCTGGGCAGCCTGCAGGAAGCTACGGAGGGTCTCGCTGTAGTCACCGACATTGAGGGGCAGGAAGAAGCTGTCACTGAGTCGGAGAAGCACACTCCCAGCTGTCCGGGCTACAGCCTGGTGGCTGCTGAAGCCTGCAAGAAGGGTGATAAAACCAGGGCTCAATCTTCAGCCCATGCTCCACAGGTTTGAGGATGCCCCTTTCCCCTTCCTCACCAGGGTCCACAAACTTGTCCACATAACCAAAGGTGTCGAAGGCTGTGTGGTAGGTGGGGTAAATCCGGGCTGAAGTCTTGCTCTGGGGGAACAAGGTTAGAAGTAACAGGCTTATGATGGGAAGTTGGAGGTATAGTCTGGTGAGCTGCAGTGTGTGGGGATTATCTCCATTGATTTGCTTTATTTACTTATTTACTTATTTGAGACCGTGTTTCACCGTCACCCAGGCTGGAGTGCAGTGCTGTCATCGTAGCTCACTATAACTTCCAACTCCTGGACCCAAGTGATTCTCCTGCTGGGACTACAGGTGCATGCCACCACACCCAGCTAATTTTTTGTAGAGACTGGGTCTCATTGTGTTGTCCAGGCTGGTCTTGAATACCCCACCTCTGCCTCCCAAAGTGCTGGGATTACAGGTGTGGGTGGGAATATGGGTATTTAAGGGAAGGGTCATATCTTGATGTGCTTGCATTACAAGAATAATGATTTAACAAACTTAAAACCAGTACTCAATTGTTTATTATATTAAAAATTGAATTAAAAATTGGTTAAAAATTGAATTAAGAAAATGATTGCAGATGATGGGCAAAGGGAACAGACAGGAGTGAAGTGGATCAGAGAAAAGCATGGACACATTCAGATTGAAGGATCCATACTGAGAAATCTATAATCTGTTGCAAATGCACAGCCTGAAAGCCTGGCCCTTTAAGACAAGAAGACTGTCTTGCTGAGGCTTCACCCCTACCCCAGCACAACTCAGCCCCAAGGTCTTTGGGCACCAGAAGGCCGGGCCTCCACAGGTGGGGCTGTTCTCTTGGAGGGAGTGAGCACAGGGGGTTAGGAAGATTTATGAAAGAAGGTGAAACTCAACTTGCTGGAAACAACACAAATGCTTCAATCTCAAAGGAGAGAAAAAGTCTCTCAGGGAAGTGGGAAAGTGCCTTTCCCCTCCTGTTTCTCAAAATGGCACAGTAAGTGACTGCCCACAAGGCTCCCAGGGGCTTAATTGCTCATCTTGGAGTTTGTGTGTGTGGTCTAATTGGAGTTGGCCTTGACATCCTGCACTTGGATTATGCTCCTGTCTCAGACTTTGTGTTAGGATCAAAAGTAATGTAGAGTGATAAAAGTAAGAAGTAAATCAATACAATTAAGGTAATTTAGTTAAAGAAATAGTTTGGTTAGAAAACACAAGCCCAGGCTTGGCGCTCATAGTTCAGTGGCTCATGCACCAGGGCTGGTGCTGCTGAACAATGATGAGAACAACAACAACAACAAAAATAGCTGGGTGTTGTGGCAGGGACCTGTAGTCCCAGCTACTTGGGAGGCTGAGGCAAAAGAATCGCTTAAGTTGGGAGGTGCCTGTGGCTCAAAAGGGTAGGGCGCCGGCCCCATATGCCAGAGGTGGCGAGTTCAAACCCAGCCCTGGCCAAACAACAACAACAAAAAAGAATCGCTTAAGCCCAAGAGTTTAAGGTTGCTGTGAGCTGTAATGCTATGGCACTCTACTGAGTGTGACAAAATGAGACTCTGTTTCAAAGAAAAAAAAAAGAAAGAAAAGGCAAGCCCAACAAGAATGATGTACGGGTTTAGCCTGCCCCTCCACCCCCATTTAATGTCTGTAACAAAAATGGAAGGCCAGGTGCGGTGGCTCACACCTGTAATCCCAGCACTTGGGAGGCTGAGGCAGATGTAATGCCTGAGCACACAGGTTCGAGACCAGCCAGAGCCAGAGAAAGACCCTCTAAGAAATAGCTGGGCATTGTGGCAGGTGCCTGAATCCCAGCTACTTGGGAGACTGAGGCAAGAGATCACTTGAACCCAAGAGTTTGAGGTTGCTGTGAGCTGTGATATCACAGCATTCTACCAAGGGTAACCAAGAGACACTCTGTCTTAAAAAAAAATAAAAAAAATAAAATGGAGCTAACCTGGAGCAAGAGGCTGTTCCATAGACCTAATGCTTGAAGGTGGTCAGCTACCTCCACCCAACTCTTTATAAAAAGTTTCTCTTTGGCTTGGCACCTGTAGCTCAGTGGCAAGGGTGCCAGCCACATACACCAGAGCTAGCGGGTTAGAACCCAGCCTGGGCCTGCCAAACAACAATGAAAAATAGCTGGGCATTGTGGTGGGCACCTGTAGTCCCAGCTACTTGGGAGGCTGAGGCAAGAGAATCACTTAAGCCCAAGAGTTTGAGGTTGCTGTGAGCTGTGATGCCACAGCACTCTACTGAGGGTGACATAGTGAGACTCTGTCTCAAAAAACAAAACACTTTCTTTTTGTGACCTGACTTTTCATTTTCCCCTCATCCTCTCATCTCTGCCAGTCACCGGGAGAGAACTCACAGTGTAGTTTGGGGCTGGTCCCCAATCACAGGTAAGAGCCACCACACCTGGCCTGGCATTATCTCCATTGAGTCTCACATCTGTGAGGTGGGTTCTAGAATTCCCAGTTTACAGAGAAGGAAACTGAGGCTCAAAAAGGCTAAACTGCTTGACATCACACAGCTAGTAAGTGACCGTGCTGGGTCAGGTGCCAGTTTCAAGTTTCACATGAAGGAGAAGAGTCTGGGGCTTTGCAGTCAGATAAGGGGACTCAAATCCTGACTCTACCACCCAGAATCAGTGTGGTCATAAGTGAAGAAAGGGCGTTTGAGCAGCTAAACAGGAAGAAGCAGGCTGCCCCTCTGCTTCTCCTGTCTCATTTCTCCCTCACACCCATACTATGGATCATCCCTGTTTCATGCCATTATTTAATCAATGGTGAGATGGACCTTCCTCCCCCCCCCTTTTTTTTTGAGACAGAGCCTCAAGCTGTCACCCTTGGTAGAGTGCCATGGCACCACAGCTCACAGCAATCTCTAGCTGGGCTGGATTTGAACCTGCCAGCTCTGGTGTATGTGACTGGCGGCTTAGCCACTTGAGCTACAGGTGCTGAGCCCCTCCTCCCATTTTAAGATCTCTGGAAACGGGATGTTTCTTATTGTCATCCTACAACTGATTGGGAGCAGTTTTTCCTCCTCCTGAATTGTGTATAACATAGTGGTGCATCTTACAATCAGCAGCATCTTAAATTTGATAAAATACCATAGGTGAACATAAACAGACTCTCAGAGAGGTTAATAAACTTGGCGGAGGTAGCATAGCTGAATGAAGGAGCCGGATTCAGCCTGCACAAGAACAGTCCGAAAGAGAAGAGGGGGCTGTGGAGCAAGGGACGGAGGGGTGCTCCTCACCCGGTCATAGGTATAGGCGATGTCCATGGAGGAGATACCCAGGAAGTGAATGAAGGGCGCGTAGTCGCTGCCAGCACCCAGAGAGCCCACACTACAGGAAGGAAACGAGCCAGGCTGGAGGGCGCTGGGCTGGCCCGCCATGCCCCAGTCCCCTTCGTGTTCCTGGGCTCACCTGGGAACAAGGCCATACACCGGGCTGCTGCGGTTGAAGTACCGGATCCAGTTGTCGTAGATACTGAGGTCTTCCGAACCTGGTGAGCGGATCTGATGAAAAGGTAATCCAATCTCAGGCCGGGGCCCTCTCCAGCCCCAGCGAGGTGGGTCCTCTGTAGGTCTCCGCCCCCAGTCTCCAGCCCACCCAGGGTCCAGCCTCTGTCCGGCCCCAGCCTCTTTAAAAGGTACCAGTTCTCAGCCCCGCCCACCCATATAGGCCTGTCCACCACCCTTCTCGGCTCTGCCCCGCCCACCCACTTTCACCTCTTTGGCTGCAGAGAAGACGACGCTCTGGACAGGGGGTGTCCCCTGCACCCTAAGGGTAGCATTGGCTGTAGGGAGAGGAGAGAAAGACTATTCTGGCCTCAGCCCCACCCTTCATCCACCCGCCATCAGGCCCAGCCCCTGCGCCCCATACCAAACACGGAGATGTCCACGTTGATGTAGGCCACGGTGCGCTCCTGCAGCTTGCTGAAGAACTCCTGTAGGTGCCAGGGCGACGTCAGCCCAGGGCTGTCCCTCTTTGGGAACCCCTTGCGAACCACTACCTGTGGGGCTCACTCACCTCTGTGAATTCTGTGGAGCCAATGAGCCCAAACTCCTCTGCCCCCCAGCTCCCAAACATGATGGATCTGCGGGGACGCCAGGTGCCTGGGGAAAGGGATGTAGAGTTGGAGGGCTGGGTCCCCAGATCCCGGGTGGCTTAGGGGGCTTAGGGGAAAGGCTAGGGACGTGGAAAGGAGGGGAGGGCAAGGCAGGGCAGCTGTTGACAGGAGGTCCTGGCACCCTTCAGCCAGGACTTCCAAGAGGAGTCCTCTGGCCTCCTCTTCCCAGCCTCTGTTCTCTCTGTGACATTCTCCCTCACAAACTAACCCCAACCCCAAAATCCTTCCGTCAGGTGACCACTTCTGCCAGAATGCCCCTACTCCCGGTAGCCATGTCTGGGACGACCTCTGACCTAGTCCCTTCAACTCTTTTCTCCATGCATCCCTGGCAACCCTCCCTATGACCAGGTCTTTATCCATATCGACCCAATCCTTACAGGAGGGAGTTTCATTATTATTTCCAGTTCCAGTTCCATCCCTTACTAGAAGGAACTAAGCCATAAGGAAGTTAAACCACTTGACTTGCCCAGGGTCACACAGCCGATAGACAGCACAGCCAGATTCACAGGCATCTGGTTCCAAAGTTCCCAGGGCTTGTTTAACCACTGCCCCATGCTGCCCCTTAGAGCAACCTGCAGCCTGGCTTCCACTTGCAGTTTCTATGCCCACACTGCTCTTTTTTTTTTTTTTTTTTTTTTTTGAGACAGAGCCTCAAGCTATCCCCCTGGGCAGAGTGCCGTGGCATTACAGCTCACAGCAACCTCCAACTCCTGGGCTCAAGCGAGTCTCCTGCCTCTGCCTCCCAAGTAGCTGGGACCACAGGCACCCGCCACAATGCCCGGCTATTTTTTGGTTGCAGCCATCATTGTTGTTTTGGCAGTCCGGGCTGGGGATTCGAACCCGCCACCTTAGGTGTACGTGGCTGGCGCCTTAGCCGGTTGAGCTATAGGCGCCGGGCCCCCATACTGCTCTTACTGTAGTCACCAGCCACCTTCGCAGACCTTAGTGAGTCTTACTTGTCCTTACCTCCAGGCTCCCCCTTTCCTGCCATGGTGCCACATGCTCCTTCCAGTTTTTCTCCACCTCTGGCTGCAACTCAGTCCCCTTTGATTATTCATCTTTGTTTTTTTTCTTTTTGCAGTTTTTGGCCAGGGCTGGGTTTGAAACCGCCAACTCTGGTATATGGGGCCGGCACCCTACTCCTTTGAGCCACAGGCATCTAGCCTTATCTTTTGTTTTAAATTTTATTTTATTATTTTTTTTTTTTTGAGACTGAGTCTCTCACTCTGTTACAGTGGATAGAGTGCCATGGTGTCATAGCTCACAGCAACCACAAACTCTTAGGTTCAAGAAATCCTCTTGCCTCAGCTTCCCAAGTAGCTGGGACTATATATGCCCACCACAATGCCTGGCTAGTTTTTCTATTTTTAGTAGAGACAGGGTTTCACTCTTGCTCAGACTGGTCTTAAACCCCTGAGTTCAGGCAATCAACCTGCCTCAACTTCCCAGAGTGCTAGGATTGCAGCCTGAGCCACTGTGCCTAGCCTCACACATTATTTTTGCTAGCAATGCCCTAGTTCCTCTCTTAATTTTTCTTTCTACTCTGGAGTCTGGCACCTCTAACTGCTTGTTTGCCCTCCCCCCATGCCTTCCAGGCACCTCACAATCGATGTGGGAACGGGCACACAATGTGTAAAAATGCAATTTGTGACACAAATAACATACAAAGGAGGGGGAATGGAGCTTGACAGTGGTTGAGGTTTTGTGTGCAGTTGAAGTTAAATTGGCATCAGTTCCAATGCCATAGTTATAACTCAAGGATGCTTTATGAAATGGAAGATGAAGAAGTTCTGGAGATGGATGGTGGTGATGCTTGCACAACATTAGGTACTTAATTCCACTGAATTGAACACTAAAAAATGTAAAATTGAAAACCTGGTAAATTTTGTTATGTATGAACTACAATTTTTAAAAAATAAGAAGAGAGGCTGGACATAGTTCAGGTTCACACCTATAATTTCAGCACTTTGTATGCCAAGGTAGGAGGATCCCTTAAAGTCAAAAGTTCAAGATCACCCTGGGCAATAGGTGAGATTCTACTTCTACAAAGAAGTCAAAAAAATTAGCCAGCCATGGTGACATACACCTGTAGTCCCAGCTATACTCGGGATGCCGAGGTAGAAGGATCATTTGAGCCTAGGAGTTTGAGGTTACAGTGAGCTATGATTGTGCCACTATGCTGTAGCCTGGGTGACAAAACCCTTTCTCTAAAAATATAGATAAATAAATTTAAAAATAAAAAATAAAGAAGAAGGCTCAGATTCAGTTCTTTTTTCTAGATCTGTCTTACATCTGCTCTGTTCTGTTTTTCTTATGTGGCACCACCATACCAGAGCCCTCCACTGTCTGCTTCCTTGTTTCTGAAGCCCCTTGGTCCCAATCCTTGTCCAAGCCCCAGGGTCCCTTCAACTCTGGGAGGAAAAGATTTCTACCTGGCCCCTCCCCCCATGCCCTTCCCTCAGGAGCACAGGGAGCCATTTAGAAGTTGGGTTCCACCATGTCACTCTCCTGAATAAAATCATTCACCAGCTCCCCTATCCTTGGACTGACTCCAAACTCTCCAACCCAGGTTCCTCTGCAGCCTGGCCCAGCCCACCCAGCCTCCTTTCCAGCTGCTACCCTTGACCCTCCTCCTGGACCTGCTTCCCCTTACCCCAAAGCACTGAAATGCTACTTCTACAGAAAGCCCTGCTCCAAACCAGCCTGGCATATCAGAGGCACATGAGACATATTTTCAGTTAACTATCCTCTGTCCTCCCTGCCCCAGCTGGGCTGAAGTGCCCCGAGGGCAGAGCCTGGGCACTGGTTTGTGTGCCCCAACATGGGGCCTGGCTCTTCCAGGCTCAGGTGAGCTCTCAGAAGCTACTGCAGGAACCAGCCCAGTAGCCTGTTCCCAGTACCCCATGGGGCTGCTCCAGGCCTGGGGTAACATCCCAGGCATCTCTGCCCCCAGGGTCTTCAGGCTTGGCACAGGAGGGCACTGAAGAGGGATGAAGAGGAGGTGGGACAGGAGTGGGCTGGAGGTGACCTCCTGGATAGAGAGTCCCTAGACTAGGAGAGGGGACCACCTCACCTTTCTTCAGCAGGGTTCCCAGGATGCGGGAGAGCTCCAGTAGGACGGCAGTACCACTGCTGGGGTCCACAGCCCCGTGTACCCAGCTGTCCCGGTGGTTTCCGTATAGCACATAGCGGTCTCTCCAGAGGAACAGTCAGAGAACCGGAAAAGAGGGAGTGGGGTACAGGGGCAACTGTGGCCAGGGCAAGGTGGGATGAGGGCAGAGTGGGAGTAACAGGGGCACACAGAGCAGGGAAGAGTCCCGGAGGACACAGTGAGTGAGAGCAGGGGCTCACCAGGCTCCACAGCCCCATGGATGATGCCCAGGACATTGGAGGAATTCCTTTGCTCCAGGCGATTATAGACACTCACTTTCACCTGGCTGGGGAGTGCGAAAGATGTGATGAGAACCTTGGGCCTGCTCACTGCCACCCCCTACCCAATGCTGAGAAACTAGCTCAGAGCAAGAAAGGGACTTGCCCAGAAGTACCAAGACCGGCAACGAGGCTGGAGCCCAGCTCTGTGCTCCTCATTATCTTCACTCATTCACCCAGTGAGTACTTACTAGGGTCTTAATGTTCACGCAGTAGGTTACTAGGCTCTGGGTAATGATGGGACAGACCACCCTGGGCCCCATGCTTGTGGGGCCTCCCACTGCAGGAGGTGAGGGGCCTGGGAGGATATTTGGTGATCAGGGGTTGTACAGGCCAGGAATGGCAGAGGCCCTGATTTGGGATAGAATTTGGCACCTTGAAGGGAGGGAGTAGCTGGAGTGCAAAGGTACTCCTTTTCGGGTGTACCCAAAGGGGGTGGGTAAGGATCTTGTGGGCCATGCAGCTGTTTCACTGGCTTCCCCAAAGACAAGACAGACACTTTGTGTTCAGGGGAGGAGCTGAGGAGAAGAGAAAGGGGAAGACCAGGGCTTGAAGTGGGAAGAAGGAAAGCCTGGAGTAGGAGAAGAAAAACAAGGGAGGAGTGGAGAGCTAGGGGACAGAGGGCACCCGGAGAGCAGTGGCCCCACCTCACCTGTCTGCTGGAAAGTCACCATCAGGCCGGAAGCCAGGCCCCAGCCTGTAGTCACAGCCCAGTGCTCCCTGCCAGGCCTCTGGGGCCAAGGATCCATTGAGGTTACTGGGGAGAAGGCGGAAGCCCTTCAGAGTAAATGCAGGTGTCCAGGTTGAAGTTTGGAGGCTACCGGGGGATGGGTAGGACACCCTGGGCACAGGCTCACCAGAGCAGATCTTTTGCATCCTGGAAGCCAATGGGCTGTGTGGGAATCGGGGGGAATCCAGAGACATTGGCAAGGTCCAGGCGGAAGGAAGAGGGGCTGGCTGGAAGGTAGGGAGTGAGGGGGTCTCCAAAATACTCATAATAGGACCCTCGCTCCACTCCCGAGGGAGGCAAGTGCCAGGAGTTGGGAAAGGTCTCGTTGGGTAGTCTCAGCCCATCATTGATGTCAGCAGGGTCTGTGTACACCAGCAGCCCGATCACCCCATGCCTGGCAGCATTCACAGCCTGCAGGAGACAGAGCAGGCCATGTGTGGGGGAGGGACAGGGCAGGGCACTGTCATGTTCCTCTTCCTCCCTCCTCGGCTATGGAAGCCAGGATGGTTCTACCTTTGCATAAATCAATTAAGGCAAGGCAAAAGACTATTGGGCATAGCCAAGCCAGTGCCTACCAAAGGAGACTGGCTGAATAAATAGGGACATCTCACAATAGAATACTGTGAAGCTATATAAAAGAACAAGACGGCCTTGCACACTCATGTTCACAGCAGCATCATTCTCGATAGATGAAAGGTAGACAGAACCAACCCAAGAATCCCTCAGGGATGAATGCATAAAGAAAATGTGGTATATAACATACAATGGAATATTATTCAGCCTTAGAAAAGAATAAAGTTCTGATACAACACCAACAAACCTTCAAGACTTTGTCCTAAGTAAAATAAGCCAGACACAAAAGGACAAATATTTTATGATTCCACTTATATGGGGTACCTAAAATAGGCAAATTCATAGAGACAGAAAGTAGATTGGAGAGGCTGGGCACAGTGGCTCATGCCTGTAATCCTAGCACTCTGGAAGGCTGAGGTGGGTAAATTGCCTGAACTCTGGAGTTCAAGACCAACCTGAGTTAGAGCGGGACCCCATCTCTAAAATAATAGCCGGACATGGTGGCTGGCACTTATAGTCCCATCTTCTTGGGAGGCTGAGGCAAGAAGATCATATGAGCTCAAGAGTTTGAGGTTGAGGCAGCACCTATGGCTCAAGGAGTGGGGTGCTGGCCCCATATACTGGAGGTGGTGGATTCAGACCCAGCCCCGGCAAAAAAAAAAAAGAGTTTGAGGTTGCTGTGAGCTATGATGCCATAGCACTCTACCAAGGGTAACAAAGTAAGACTCTATCTCAAAAAAGAAAAAAAACGTAGAATAGAGGTTAAAGAAAACAGAATAGGGTCTAGGGGAGGGGGAATAGGCAGGTATTGTTAAATAGAGTTTCTGTTTGAAATATTGAGAAGGTACCAGAAATGCATAGTGTGATGGTTAATATTATGAATGATTAATGCCACTGAATTGTATGCTTAAAATGGTAAATTTTTTATTACATAATATATAATAGTATATACTATACTACATATGAGATACATACGTATTTATACACTATAGTAAAAACAAAACAGTACCCCCAAAAAAGAAAAAATATGCATTTTGTGTATTAATTAAGAATGATCAGCTTGGCGCCCATAGCTCAGTGGTTAGGATGCCAGCCACATACACTGGGGCTGGTGGGTTTGAACATGGCCCAGGCCTGCTAAACAACAATGACAACTGCAATAAAAAATAGCCGGACATTGTGGTGGGCGACTGTAGTCCCAGCTACTTGGGAGGCTGAGGCAAGAGAATGGCTTAAGCCCAAGAGTTTGAGGTTGCTGTGAGCTATGATGCCATGGCACTCTACAAAGGGTGATATAGGGAGACTCTGTCTCAAAAAATAAAATAAAATAAAATAAAAAATAAAAAAAGAATGATCTATAGGACGTATTGAAGTGGAAAAAAGACACAGCTCAGAGGCTTGGGTCTAGGACACTATTTTTATGTAAAACGACTTGGAGGAGGGGTAAGAATATATACAGTATATATACAGTATAAAAGAAAACTCTAGATAGATTATCTATAAACTGAAAAAAGGAATGATTACTTCTTTGGAGGATGGAATTAGAGAAGAACTTTTTCACTTTATACCGTTTTTTATTAGATTGAAAATTTTCTAATCTGTTAATTTCTACTCTACTTGTCCTTTTTCTTTTCTTTCCCCCTTATATTCTTTTCCTTTTTCTTCCTTTCCTCCCTCCTCCCTACTCTCTCTCTCTCTCCTTTTTCCCCAGCTCTTATCATGGGTTCTTTTTTAAAAAAAAATTGTGGTAAAATACATATAACATGAAATTTACTGTTAAATACATAGTTTGGTGCTGTTATAGACATTCTTATTGTTGTGCAACCATCACCACCACCCATCTCTAGAATTCTTTCTGGTTTTGTTTATTTTGTTGCCAGGGCTAGAGTGCAAGGGCGTCATCATAGCTCACAGCAACCTTGAACTCCAGGGCTCATGCCTCAGTCTCCCAAGTAGCCAAGACAACAGGTGTGCACTACCATGTCCAGTTAATTTTTTACAATTTTTTTGTGGAGACAGGGGTCTCATATGTTGCCCAAGTTGGTCTTGAACTCCCAGCCTCAAGTGATCCTCCCACTTTGGTTTCCCAAAGGGCAAGAATTATGGATATGAAGCATGGCACTGGGCTTAACATTTCTTTTTTACATGTTTTTTTTTTTTTTTTTTGAGACGGAGCCTCAAGCTATCCCCTGGGTAGAGTGCCATGGCATCATGCTCACAGCAACCTCCAACTCCTGGGCTCAAGCGAGTCTCCTGCCTCAGCCTCCCAAGTAGCTGGGACCACAGGCGCCTGCCACAACGCCTGGCCATTTTTTGGTTGCAGCCATCATTGTTGTTTGGCAGGCCCGGGCTGGGGATTCGAACCCGCCACCTTAGGTGTATGTGGCTGGCACCTTAGCCACTTGAGCCATAGGCCCCAAGCCTACATGTTTTTAAACAATAGGCATATAATGCCTAGTCAAAATTTATGATTGAAAAGAAATGGGGATGGGTTGTGGCTGCTCACTAGCACTCTGGGAGGCCAAGGTGGATGAATTGCTTGAGCTCACAAGTTCAACACCAGCCTGAGAAAGAGCGAGACCCCTTCTCTACTAAAATAGAAAAGCTAGCCGGGTGTTGTGGTAGGTGCCTGTAGTCCCAGCTACTCGGGAGAGTGAGGCAGGAGGATCACTGGCATCCAGAAGTTTAAGGCTGCTGTGAGCTATGGCACCATGGTACTCTACCCAGCGTGACAGAGTGAGACTCTGTCTAAAAAAATAAAGAAGAAAAAAAAAGAAACGGGGAGGGCAGCAGAAAGGGTTTAGGTTTGAATATTCTGGAGAACTTCACAGGAGGACTCAGACTCCCAGCACACCAAAGCCAAAAATTTTGCCTAATCTCTTTATTTCCTGAGACTCAGAGAGGTCAGGAAGGCCCCTGAGGCCACACGACCCAACAGTGGCACAATACAAAACAGCTCACCACCCCCGCCCCAGCCCAGGATTTAGCCCCATTCAACATTACCCTTTCTCCTCACTTCCTCCTATCACTCCCCAGCCTTTTCCCCACCCAGGCCCCTGCACTGGGGGCTGCCACTCACCTTGGCCCCACGCCCTGCACCCCCGTAGCGAGTCAGGGCGATGGTGCCTTCCAGTTTGATGCCTTGAGTCTGCAGCTTCTTAAAGTCTTCTTCTGTGCCCTGGTTGGCATAGACGAGAAGGCCCTAATCCCAAGAAGACATGATCCTTAGAGCTGGGCTCAGTACAGGGCCAGTGGGAATATAGGGGCAGGAAGGCTGAGTGGCAGGAAGAAGGATTTTGATTCGGCTTCCCACTTCACTCAGAGTTTATGTGCTCCCCCAAGGACAATAAGCCCTGATTTTCTCTGTGTCTGAGTGCCCTATAAATGGCCTGGCCTTGAGCAGGAGCTGCTAGTGTTGATTAAATGACCAATGGAGGAACAGAGTCGTGATGGAGTGTGGAAGTGAGTAAATTAGGGGGCTGCTGTGCCCCATTTGATGAACTTTCTCTCAGAGTATGGGAGGGAACCAGGTGGTCCTGAGCTGCGCCAGGGCACTAGAGGGGTTCCAAGCCTACCTGTGGGGTTCCAGGGGGAGCATAGGCAGCATAGGGTGGTACCACATCATGTCCCCCCTGTTCCCCAGTCAGGTTCTCCTCCGTCCGGCGGCAGGTGTGGAGGATGTCCCCAGTGGAGTTCACTGTGGAGGGGACAGTGTCAGGCCTGGGCCCAGCAGCCCCCCCCTCCCCTGGGTATGCCCAAGCCTGGGCAGGACTTCACCAACATCCACGCTGTTGGGCTGCTCCTGGCTGGGGAAGGACAGCAGCACCTGGTACTCAAAGACCTCAGCTGAGTCCAAGCCTGACTCTGGGTCCCTCCAGCGCTGCAGCAGCAGCTGCACCAAGGCCTCATCACGGGGGCTGGAGGCCAGGTGTGGCTCCCTGGAAAGTTCTCTGCAGGGTGTGAGAGGGAGGAGCAGGGATGGCATCAGGAAGGGGCCCCTGGAACACCAGAGGGAGAAAGCAGGCAGAGGTGCCTCTCACCTAAGGTTCTCCCGGATCCTGTCGGCATTCAGCTGTCCCAAGATGGTCTCAAGAATTTCCAGATCCAGGTCCTGGGAGGGTGAGGTGCTGGGGGCTGGTGAGCTGGCATTTTTGGGGATGGCAAAGTGGCCCAGGATGATCCCCAGTGCAAAAAGGGCAGCAGCTCCCAGCCCCAGCCCCAGTCCCTTTACCCACTGCATCCTGTGGAATCTTGGCCAGCCAGGGTGGGCTGCTGAGGGCCTCCTTATAGATGGGGCATTGGGCCTAGTTAAACATTATCCCATGGGTGGCACTGCCCTTTGGCCCCCTGCTGTCAGGGAGTGCGGAGGGAACATCCTGTGGTGAGAGCCAGGAGCCACTCACATCCACCACATTCTGCATCATTTACCTGGAAGGGGCTGCCAAGGGCAGCAAGTCCCCCAGGGACACTCAGGGACACCTGAGAGGAAAGGGTCTCACCCACCTTCTCCCAACAAAACAGAGGCCAGAGCTGAACTAGATCTCAGAGTCCCTATGTCTGAAGCAGAGCTGTGACCATTGCCAGCCAGCATGGCCTCTCTCTCCCTCCTGCACATCCGGCCCTGCCTGCCTGGGCAGAATTTGAGTTCAAATCCCACGCTTGCAGGATGAACATAAGCTGTGTGACTTTGGGCAATTTGCTTAGCTTCTCTAAGCCTGTTTTCTTAGTTTACACAACACGGATAATAAAACCACTTCACAAACCTGTGTTTTCATTAAACAAGATGGCATCTGTAGAAATGTCTAGCACAGCATCTGGCACATAGTGGGAACTCAGTAAATTTTATTCCCTCTGCCCTTTAAAACATAAGGCCTAGAGCTAAAGGAAGGGGGACCCAGAAGAATTCTCTGTCTAGCCCAAAGGGGATCCAGTTAATAGGAAGAGGTTGGACTCTTGGTTAGGGAGATGTCCAGAGTACAGCAGGAGAAGCCCATACTTCCTTGGCAAGGTGACTTCTTCTTCCACCCCTGGCCCTATCTGGAATCCATCCATCCACCCTCCAATTTATCCATCCATCCATCCCTCTGTGCATTCATTCATTCATTCATTAGGCTCTACGTCCAGAAGGGGAAACAGGCTTTGGATTCAATCTTGTTTTATTTATTTATTTATTTTTGAGATGGAGTCTCATTATGTTGCCCTCAATAGAGTGCCGTAATGTCACAGCTCACAGTAACCTCACTCTCTTGGGCTTAAGTGATTCTCTTGGCTCAATCTCCCAAGTAGCTGTGACTATAGGCACCTGCCACAACACTCAGCTATTTTTGGGTTGAACTTGTCATTGTTGTTTAGCAGGTCCAGGCTGGGCTCAAACCCACGAGCTTCAGTGTATGTGGCTGATGCCCTATTCACTGAGCTACAGGCATCAAGCCTCAACCTTGTTTTAAGTGCCCTAAAGACGTAGGACCACCGGGCTTCTGGATAGGGGAAATAAGGAATTTTATTTAGAAGGGGACATTTGAGGGGATCCTCGGAGGATGAGAAGGCATTCAGTATAGGTGAGGGCAGACTGTTGTGCAGATGGCCAGCATGTTTGAAGACTGGGAGGGAAAGCGAGACCCCAAGTACTCAACAGGGTACAGAGTGGGCTGGGCCATGATGGGCTGTGTGTGGATATGTGTGATATCATGGCTCCCCTGCTCAGAGCATCCCCTTTCCTGTTCACAACCCCATTTTTCCAGTACTACCTGCCCTGCATCCATCTCCTGTTGTGCTGCTTGGTCAGGAGGGCCAGCATGGGAGGGGATCATGCGATCAGTGACTTCAGGAAACTGCACCAGGAAGCTACAGGTCTTGGTCAGGTGACTATCAGCGCCCAGAATGTGACCTTGGATTTTATCAGAACCCCATCAGTGCAGAGATTGCACAACTGCCTTATGAGGACACAGGAGGACAGGCACTAACAAGTGGGAAGCATCCTTGCCAAGGTCAGCTGATAAGCTGAGGAACAGACATGGTGGTGACACAGAGGCAGCAGCTCCATGGTCCTGCCCACCTACACCTGGAAGGATTTAACCCTTTGAATATGTGAAGTCACAGAAAAGACACCTGAACAAGAGTGTGACATCCGAGTGAGTGACTGAGACTCTCAGACACCTGGTTTATGTCTGAGAGTGAGTAAACAATGTGTGGGAGGCTGGGCTCAGTGGCTCATGCCTGTAATCTTAACACTCTGGAAGGCTGAGGCAGATGGATCACTTGAGCTCACGAGTTCGAGACCAGCCAAAGAAGAGCAGGACTCTGTCTCTACTAAAAATAGAAAAACTAGCAGACATAATGGGGCACTCCTGTAGTTCCAGCTAATTGGGAGGCTGAGGCAAAGGATTGCTGTAGCTGAAGAGTTTGAGGTTGCTGTGAGCTATGGTGCCATAGCACTCCACCCCGGGCGACAAAGTGAGACTCCGTCTCAAAAAGACAAAAACAAAAAGTGTATGGGCAACACCCAAGAAATTGGCTCAAGCTATTGGAGCCTGTTGATCCCAGACATCAACTTGGTCAATTTTCTTTTCCCATCTTGGCTGAGTAGGTGGTGTGGGTGCTCCGTGAACATTCTGGATGGTGGGTGTTGATGGAAATCATTTAAAGTAGCTAAAGTGGCTCAGCATTTGCAGCTCAAGCGGCTAAGGCGCCAGGCACATACACTGGAGCTGGCGGGTTCGAATCCAGCCCAGGGCTGCCAAACAACAATAACAACTACAACCGAAAAATAGCCAGGCGTTATAGCGGGCGCCTGTAGTCCCAGGTACTTGGGAGGCTGAGGCAAGAGAATCGCTTAAGTCCAAGAGTTTGAGGTTGCTGTGAGCTGTGATGTCATGGCACTCTACCCAGGGTGACTCTG